TTTAACCATGTGGAACAAAAAATGAATCATAGCAGATTTAAAACAATGTCTAGAGAGGAACTTTTAAAATGTGTAGAACTTGAGTCTTTTTTCACGTGCACTTCAGCTCTCTGCTGTTGGACTGTGCTGTCTGAACAGGTCTACTTCACGCTTCATGTAACCTGAAACTTTTGACCTGCTGAATCACGTGGAGGCCTCTGACATTTGGAATAATTTGAATTTAATGTATTCCAATTCAGCGTTTAACTGCTGTGTGTTGTTCATTGGCGTTGCACTTGGAGAGAAGGCTCAATTAAGCAGACTTTCTGTGTTCATGCTGAAACTCAGCACACACCCGCCACCGCTCCACCCCCCCGCTCTCCCTCTGTTCGCTCCATTTAACTTGAAGCCACCAGCTTACATGAATACCCATGAACACGCCAGGGAGCTCTCCTGCAACAGCTCTCCTATTACAAATCTGCACTGCACCTCCTCCTCACCCTCCTCCCTTTTCTGTTTTCTGTCTCCATCTCTTCTTCCCCCCGATTTTATCCCGCTCTTCTTCTTCTTCTCTCACTCCAAATCTCAATCAGCCTTACACATCATGGCCAAAGTTTGTAGACAACCGCCGAACGTTCCCTCCATATGTGACAGTGCAAACACCTTTAATGTGCTGCTAAAACAAACTCTGGATTCACATCTGTCCAGCAGATGTTGAACCTGCTGCAGGAATCTGCTCCATGTGATGGAAACCTGGCTCCTGTTTATCTTTTCTATTTGTTCCTACTTCACTAGTTTACGTAGTTTTTTCTTCTTCTCTGGAAATATGATGGTAGTTTCTCGTACACGCATCACAGTCATCATCAGTCATCACCAACTGTCAAAATACCATTGTTATGCAGATGGAACATAGTTACGTACAATCATTCAACAAATCTGGACGTTAGCTAGCCAGCTGTCTACAGATGTTAGGCTAATGTCAGGACACACAACAGTAACGAGCACATGAACTGGAGAGTGCAGAAAATTCAGCCCTGCCCGCTGAAACCAAATTATTAAAGTGGCAGCGCTGTGCTTCATCATTGCCATCTGCTATCTGACAGTCAAAACTGTCCATTAAGCATTAATATGTTTTGTTAATATTCACAGCAACAACAGCCATTGAGGTGGTGCCGTTTTATACGTGTGGTGCTTTTAAAAATATGTAGTATTATCAGCAGCGTTTTAGGAAAGGTAGGGTTTATATGTAAGAGCACAAGACAGCTAAAACATGAAACACAAAGAAGAGACAACTAATAATAAGACAATACAAAAAGACATATTGAAAAACAGGAATTAAAAAGAAGTATAAGATAGAAACTCAATTAGAATAAAACATAAAGTCAGGAGATTAGAAATTGCAGTGCAAAATATGAATAAATCATCTCGATTAAATGAAAGTGAGAGCTGGAAATTTGTTCAGATCCATTAAAAAGTGAACACTGCCCTTCCAGTTGTTAGTTTGACTCTGGGGACAGAAACAGACCTGGCCCAGACCATCTGAGAGGTCTGGACGCTTCACACCAAGCAGCAGTCCAGAAATATGTTTTGGCCCTAAATCCTTCAAGTGCTTTATGACAAACTGTAGAATTTTAAAGTCAGATTTAACAAATAGGTGGCTGTGTAAAGATGTGAAAACTGGGGGGATGTGATCAGTTTTCCCAGTCTTAGTGAGTTTTAGTCTTTTTAAGAATTACAGGAAAGAAAATCATGAATCATCACCAAGCACCAAGCGTACAGGGCTGCTTCAGCAGTTAGTATTTACATAAAGTCTGAGGACTCAGAAGAGTCCTACACACACACACATTATTGATACTGAATGTCTCAGTAAAATGTTCACAGACAATGTCTTTGTTTTCCACCAGAATATCTGATGTTGCAGAACAAATGTCCACCTGTAGTGGACTCCACCTTCATTAAAAGGTTTTCTGGTTCTGTTCAGACTCTCACAGATCCCGGTTCAGGCTAGGGAAAGACCCTGGTCTGGTTTAATTCAGGACTAAATTAAACTAAAACCGCCATCTTTCACTGACCTTAAGCAAAGAGTTTTTTGACAATGACAGCGATGCCAGCAGCACTGCAGCAGTGAAACCAGACACAACCGACAGAGAGACGAGATTTGTGTTGGTGAAATTTCATGAGAGTTTGTTGCTGAAGACTGAGACAAAAACAGGTCTCGAATAAAGTAAATTTTCTCCCTGTGGCTTGTGAAAAATTGATCCAATTTCTATTTTGGTGACTATGGGGCGAAGGAATCGGTCATAATCTGTGATCACGTTCACTTCTCCCATTGGAGTGAACAGACTCAGACCAGCTGATTGTCTCCTAAAGGGGGCGGAGGTGGCAATACCCACTAGACACAGTTACAGGAAATGATTGTAATTGCGCCGTCTCCTTTCTCAACTGTCTCTGACTTCAGTACAAGACAAGAGGTGATAGAAATAGAAGCAAAACAAATGGGTTGCTTTCCAAAATTCCACCTTTGTGTCACTTGTCCTCTCCTCATTTTGGTGCACTAAGCTGTAATGGGCTCATTACTGCCCCCTGAGGCTGGAGGTCTGCAGGTCTGGTGGTTTGGTGAAAATGAGCCCATTACACACTTGAAACCAAAGTGTTTTCAAAAAGTATTTTCAGATTTACAAGAGAAGAGACTTCAAGATGACGACTAACTGGTTGGTTTTTACAAATGTAGGTCTGTGAACTTCCACCCCTGATAAACAGAAGCACACAGCTGAGGGAACACTACAGTATCTGTCCACATACTTCTGGCCACATAATGTCTGTGTCTCACTCCGTGTCTGTCTTTTTCCTACTTTAGCCACCTCCCCTGTGTGTGTGTGTGTGTGTGTGTGTGTGTGTGTGTGTGTGTGTGTGTGTGTGTGTGTGTGTGTGTGTGTGTGTGTGTGTGTGTGTGTGTGTTTTGTATTTCTCTCTCCCTCTTGTATTTATTTCATTTTGTCCTCTGCTTCTGGCTCCTCCCCTTCCAGTCAGGGAGAGGGATTCCTGAGCCTCCCCATTGGCCAGCAGTGAGGCTTAGACTCCGCCCCCTTTCTCCCCCCTCTCTCTCAGGCCAAGAGAGGGAGGGAGAGAGGGAGAGAGAGAGAGAGAGAGAGTGAAAGTGGAGAGGCAGGCAGGCAGACGTGTTGCAACAGATGGCTTTACCAGCAGCGGCTCGGCGGCGGCTGCACCGAGGAACTCTGGGACGCCGTTAGACGCAGGCAGCGGCAGAGAAAGGGAGGGAGGGGTTGTTAGAAAGTCACGGCTCTGGAGCAGGGCGAGGAAAAAACGGACGGAGTGACACTTCTCGCCCACAAACTCGCCGTCTTCCTCTGCAGACGCGCAGGAAGACATGTCAGCGTGAGCAGAAGTTTGGTGGATTTGCTAAAAGGAGCAGCAGCGACACTTCTATACAGGAGATGACTGTTTGATCCGAGCCTTCATCCTCCTCCTCCTCCTCCTGCCCCGGGGTCCGAGAGGAGAACACCTGCTGACAGTGAGGAGGTCCTGAGGGAGGAGACGCAGCAGCAGCAGCAGCAGGTACAGAGCTGCTACTTCTCTGTTCTACTTTAGTTTAATGTTTATGCAGGAGCGACTAAGCTGCTGCTGCTCAGGTCGTCGTTAATGGGCTGATTTGAAAAGTGTGTGTGTGAGAGTGAAAGAGAGAGAGGCTCTTCAGTTCTGCTCTACTTCACTGTGTGTCACTTTCTGTGGTCAGAGCTGTTAGTCAGAGCAGCTTTGTTACACACACACACACACACAAGAGTTTGTGTGTGTGTGTGTGTGTGTGTTTGTGTGTTGCTCCACTTTACTGTTGTGCTCCTTACATTAGTTTTGAGGCCATGTTGTACTTACACTTGTCACACTTGTCTGCAGCAGTGTGTGTGTTTTAACTGCTTTAACTGTATGTGTGTGTGTGTGTGTGTGTGTTTATTGCTTCCTGCTTGCAGAACACGTGGGAGTGTGTTTTAGCTGCGCAACACTGAGGTCAGTCAGGAGAGAGAGGGAGAGGGAGGAAAGAGAGAAGAAAGGGGGGATGAATGGAGGGACAGAGGGAAAGGAAAAAAAGGAGGGAAGTAAGGAAGGAAGGAAGGAAAGCTGTTCCACCCAAATCTGTTTTTATTATAATAATGATTTTTTTATGTTCCACTTTTCCTAAGTAACAAAGGGCTTCAGAGGGAATATAAACACACAAACCAGGCAATAAAAAGAAGTGAGACAAACAGAAAGAATAAAAACGGACGTGAAACAGGGAGAAAAAGAAAAGGACTGAGGCCGTGAAGCTGAAGACTGATACAGGAAACTGTAGCTGGGTAGACGCTGAGGTGATGTCACAGCAAAGGTGTTTGATAACTTGTGTCATGTTGTCATGAAAGTGTTCATACACGTGTGTGTGGCAGGAGTTTTTACTCATTTGTGTTTGTGGGTTTCCACTTGAAAAACCACTTGTGGGGTTTTGAGCCGGTTGGACGACACTGTGGTCCTCAGGGATTTATCTTGACAGCTTTCGGATGGATGGACGTGACATTTGGTTCAGACGCAGGATGAATTGTCAAGGTGACTGAACTGGTGGAAGTGGCTGGGGAGAGGGCTCTCTGGACCTCTTTGCTGAGGCTGCTGCCCCCGCGACCCGGATCCGGATAAGCGGGAGACGACGAACGAACGAACAGTTTTGGTCACTATTAGCTGGATTCGTGTCATTAAAGCAACTAAAGATTATTTTCATAATCGATTAATCAGATTTTTTTTCTTCAAATGTTTTGTCTACAAAATAGTGATGGCCGATGATTTGAAGCAGCAGCTTTGGAACAACATTTCAGAGTGTGAGCATTTCTCACTGCAGCGAGGCAAGTCCACAGTCATAAGAGATAACTGTATTTTCATAAGGACAGTGTCCTAAGATGTGACAACAAAAGAGGATCTATCAACAATCTTAAGAATGAAAGAACAGACTCGGGCTGAGGATGTTTAAAAAAAAAAACAAAAAAACAAAAAAAAAAAAAACCCCAGCTGCCAATGTCTAAGTTTGTGTCAATCACCACTGAGAGGAGGAGGACGCATTTCATGACCTCCTTACCTGTCACTTCGTAATGCACCAGCAAGAACTGTGCAACAATCCTGAACATGACAGAGGTCCTGGATGTGTTAATGAGAATTGCTTGTTCTATTCGGGAAGGATGAAATGTGAATTGTTAAATTATTTTTATTTTTTAAGTTTATTTAAAAGTCAAGAATGTGCTTCCTCACTCAGATCAGATGGATTTCCATGAAGTTTGATGCAGATTTTGATGGTTCCCAGAAGATTGACGTGACTTGTTTTTTTTTTTGCTAATTAGCCAATGTTAGCATGCTAACATGCTAAACTAAGATGATAAACGTTGTCAACGTTATACCTGCTAAACATCAGCATGTTAACACTGTCATTATTACCATGATCGCACGCTGATTAACTCAACACATGTTCAGTTAGGTTTCAGTGAACATGTGGATGTCTGAGTGGAGTTGTCATATTCAGTCTGATCACACCTGTTCACACCTGTAGACACCTGTATAACAGAACTACGCTGGAGAAACGGGTCCATGACTCAGAGTGAAGAATTCAAACTTCTGACTTCTACTCTGTTACAGTAGTGTGTGTGTGTGTGTGTGTGTGTGTGTGTGTGTCCGTGCGTGCGTGTGGGGGTTTAGCTGCAGTGGTCGGTGTTGGCGGTAACTCTATTGACAGAAACTATTACGATTTGGCCACAGGGTTCCCACCATCTATCACACACACACACACAGTAAGGGTAAATGAGGCTGATGGTAACTTTGCCATTGCTGGAATGTAAACACTCACTGACCCCAACTCTTCAAATATTAACACACACACACACACACACACACACACACACACACACACACACACACACACATATAACTCTTTATACTTAAAATATCATATAATATATACTTATAAGAAAATTTAAATCATCACTANCACACACACACACACACACACACACACACACACACACACACACATATATAACTCTTAATTCTTAAAATTTCATATAATAAATACTTATAAGAATTTAAATCATCACAGTAAAACTGCAAGGTATTTTAAAAGCAGATTTTCCAGATGTTTTCCAACATGTTTCACAAGAAAACATAAAAATAGCAAAGTTAGTAAGGAACTGAAATGATGCGTGAACAGTATCAACAGTGATCTCTAGTGTCAAACTGTTTGATCGTTTAGCTTAACAACAGAAACTGAATCTCCATCTTGTAAATACAATGTTTTTTTTTTCTTTGCCCCAAACAGCCAGTGGGTCAATTGTACAAACGTTAGCTAACAGCTAACTAGCGATCCACACAGCCACTGTGTATGTGTCTGTGTGTTTTAGAGCTGAAACAATAAATAGACGGAAACCTAATCTGCAGGAAATTTTCAGATAATTCGTAGACCAATCAGTTGAAGGAGAGAGTGTGAAATCCTCAGAGGTGTGCATCCTGGTCACAGTTCAGTTGAAGGTGAAGAAACAGGTTCAGTCCCCCGTTTCCATCTCTCTTCTCTATTTATTTCCTGTGTCGTCCATTTGAGACAAGATGTTTGTAAGACCCAGCAGCCCGCAGTGCGTCATGTAAGTTCCCCCTAAACTAATGACCTATCAGTGCTGGGGGGGGGGGTTATAATATTGACAAGTTTTTGCAGTCAGGAATCAGACAATGATGCTTTGTTTATTGATGTTTCCTATTGATGTGTGTAGTTGTGTGTGTGTGTGGTCTGAATGATGGCCAGTTGTGTCAGTACATGACAGGCAGGGTCGAGCAAGAGAGGTAGGGATTAACAGACAGACAGACAGACAGAGAGAGAGAGAGAGAGAAGGCTGTGTGTGTGTGTGTGTGTGTGTGTGTGTGTGTGTGTGTGTGTTGAGGGGTTTTCCCTCCGCTCTGTTGGAGGTTTGAGAATCTGCAGATATTTTAGCTTCGTCTATCTTTAGTTTGTTCAACATTGAGCAAAAAACTGGAACAGCTTCAGCACAGACAGCTTGTTGTCAAGTAACACAATGTGTGTGTGTGGTAACTTTACAGTGTGTGTGTGATGATGACACTGTTGCCTGAAGCTGCCTCTCGACCTCTTTGTCCTTTGACCTCTCGACCCTGTGTTCCCTCTGTGTTTGTCTGACTGTATTTCCAGTGTTGTCACTCTGTCTCTTCATATTTCATCACCAGTGTCTTCAGCTGGTGTGTGACATGTGACTGTGACTCCACGTGAGCTCAGACTCGTGTCACGCACAGAGATGCTCCACAGAGATACATTTCAAATGAGTTATGGACATTTAAATGTACCGTGTTGCCAAACGTGAGGGAAATGACACAGCGTTGTGTATGAATCTTCACAGACTGTATAAATGCGTTGTTGTGTATTTCACAATATGTTTATCAGAATTTAGCCGTTCAATCCTGCACCTCATTACATAAACGTGATGGTAATTACATCTGTCAGTTTAATGTCTGAATGAGCACAGTCACGTTCATGTAAATGCCACGATGGACGTTTTCAACATGGTTCAAGCCTGAAGTGAAAGAGTTGGTGTAAAGACTGCATCAGCACAGCGTTAAATACACACAGAGATTAAATACACATCTTTGTTTGCCTTATTATAACAGCTGTAATTAATTTATCACTTACTGAAAGGTTCTGTAAATGAGATTTTAAACAATAATACAGCAGCAAACAACTGTTTTCTATGTGCAGATATAGTGGAGTAATGGCGTCCTGACCAGATAACGAAGCGACATGCCCTCTGTGCATGTTGTAATCTGAGTTACTCTGTTCTTTGTTTTGGTAGCCGGTCTGGTAGCGCGTGCATGTTAGTGCATGCAAGTCCCTCCTGTTAAACCACCGGTCCCCCACGCGTCTATAAACACACAGAGACCGCCCACAGGTGAGATGGCTCAGTGCAGTGCGCAGCGTTCAGGTGAAAACGATATTCCAGAATTTCCTCCACTGAAGAAGAAACCACATTTTAGGCTCAAAAGGCCTCAGACTGAGAAATAGAAGGGACCAGCGCACAGGGGGTGGAGCTAACGAGGGGGTTTGTTTTGGTCTGAGATGCTGCTGGTCTACTGTGAAATCAAGTGGCAGTGATGATCTTCTACAGATCCTTAAATATCAGAGAATGGAATCTGTTTTAAAACACAGGAGACAGTGAACCTGTTTTCAGCTGTTGAGATTCTTCTAATCTCCCTATAGAGATTTACATTATTAATATACAGTATGTCTTGTCTGAATGAAGCTGCTGCAGCAGGTGGATCAGGACAGAAGTGTTAGCTGTAACAGTCTGGGTTCGATGACCTCATCATCTCATCGAGTCCTGGAGCTGCTGCAGTGCTGCTGAGCAATACACACACAACCCTGAACACACACACAATGACATCATCACAGAGAGTCGGCTGATCCCGCTCAGCCCTAGGATGAAACCATGGAAACGCAGCCCGGTGACCTTTGAACTTGTCCCACACTGGAACCTGCAGGGCGCACACACACACACACA